CCGCACATTTGCAAAAAGCTACTAGTAACCAGGGCATCGCTACTAGGAGCAAGAAGCTACTAGTAAGTACCTCCTGGCATTACTACTAGGAGCAAGGACGCTACTAGTAACAACGGACATGATCGGATTATATCGGACCTTTTTTCGCTCATTGGCTGAACGATTGTAGAATCTGAAGGGAATTTATCTCTCTCTCTCTCTCACGATGGGTGTTGTATTGATTCAGAACTACACATGACTTGATCATTGAATAATTGCTGCCGTTAGCGGCTCTCTTTCTCTCTCTCTCTCACAACTTCAGGGTTGCTGAAGCAGAAGCTGCTGCCTACGATTTTGGTGTCTTGAACCCAACTGCGTTGGATTGGAATCCGATGCTTGATGTTGTGATGTTGTGACCTACTTGAAGTGACTTCAAAACGAGACACGACGAGACACGACGAGACACGACGAGATACGACGAGACACCGAGGTGGTGCAACGGAACAAGGTCTCCAAGCCGCCAAGTCCCTGGAAGACCAAGCAGACCTTGGATCTGCTGAGTCGATGTTTCAGCTTGGCGAAGCTTGGTCGTGAATAAATGGACTCAGTCCCAAACCACCCAAATGGAAAGTTCGCAGCTGCCCTTGAACAAAATGCAGATCACAAACGAAGCAACCTTGGCAACACATTTGAGGTGATGTATGTCACCGCAAACGGCGTGGACAAGGCGGTTTGATTGCGACGGTGCTGCGTTTGGATTTGCAGCAGTTCGAGCACACGCGTTTCACGATTCAGGATATGTCCAAAGCATTTCACTGGATCCAAAAAGCTGCTGACTTGGAACACTTAGAAGCACAAAACTGAGACTTGGATGCAAATGATGCAATGCATGTGTTGTCTCTCCATGCCACATGTGAACAATGTCCCGCAGGCGTGGGCACCATGCTTCGGAATGGTTTGGGCGTCGAGATCCGGAAGGAGGACAGGGAGGGAGGTAATGACAATGTGTGCTGTTCTGGGTGCTTTTCTGTGACTAAGAGGGGTGAGCAAGACTTAAAGGTTTCTGTGTGTTTCAAGATGTATTTGCATACATGTCTGGAGCAGTGATTCGATGCTTGATTCTCCTTCGTTCACTTTGCGGTCCTCCAGCTGAAAAGGCAGAAGGGCGAGGGGCGAGGATTCAGTGAGGCACAAGCAATATTTAAGGGTGCTCCAAGGTAAGGCTGAGAGATCCTGAATTGGTTGACAGTGAGAAACTTCTCTTGGAATTACATGTGGTGGCGTGCACCGGTCGTTTCGTCTTCTCTAGGAAGCAGCGCAATGGTTCGAGAAGGCCGGTGCCCGTGGCCATGCAGAAGCACAATTCAACCTTGGAGAGATGTGCCTTGATGGCAGACAAAGGAAAAGAAGAGTTCCAAGACCATGGGACCATGCTGTGCCCTTTGCTGTATCGCTAGTTCTTGACTTGACATTCTTTGTGCTGTAGGGTCTGGAACTACCAGAGTCCAGGTATGAGTGCAAGTTTGCGCAAGTTGTAAGTTTGTTGGCACAGGTTCTGGGATGCAGAGCTTCCACAAGACCTGGAGGCCGCTGTGTTGCTTTTCCAGCAACATGGCTGTGGATGAAGTTGGGGGGGCGGTGATTTGGGGGGAAAGACACGCGCAAAGCCCAAAAGCCCAGTTCCGAGGAAAGCAGCCCAGGCGGATTTGGACGCAGCTCAATTCAAGCACTTTGGCTGATGCTTAGCTTCTTCTAGCAACTACTAGCAGAGCACCTTATGCTCGGATTCTTTTTGACGTGCTTCATTATCAGCAAGCTGTAGAGTTTCAGGGTCTGCAAACCTCAGGGTGGGACGTCAAAGCTCCTGTGGAATGTTGTTGGCCACAATTTGCTGTTGCTCTACGTTTTCCACAGCAAACAGTGGAGCGTCATCCACTACGCCACCAACCTTTCCTGGTTTCCCAGAGTCTTAGACACTCAGCCCCCAGAACCAAGCTCAGCCTCTCAACTCTAGGCTTGGCCTTGCACTGCGGCGTGGCCTGGGTTCCTCGCCTTGGCCTGGGGCGTCACTCATGTGTCCCTTCCATCACGCCCAAGGTGCGAATCATGTTGCAAGGAAAGATCGATGCCAGGAGCCCCTAGTAGCGAACATTGCACCTGACATACGATATGCATGGTGAGGTGTACGGGACATGTTTCGCTTGGACAAAATGCTAAAGCAGCATAGCTTTTGGGACTTCAGTTTGCATGGGGTCAGTCGGACGCAAGTTTCACCCATGTGTGGGGTGTGGGTGTCCTTTGCTTGTAATTAAGGAATTGAGATGGACGTGCCACAAGGGATGCAATACATTGAGAAAGCAGCGCAGCATGGGCTTGCTGAAGCAGAGTGTTTTGATACTTGGCTTTGTTTGGCTTTTGCTTCCGAATGTATCTCAATGATTGTCAGACTTTTGGAGATGCATAGAGCTGCGGGCGCACTCTTTTAAGACACATCGAGCACTTTTTGCATGCTCAAGTTGTTGGATATTTTTGTATCTCAGTTGGGATCCTGCTTCTTTAGTGGTGATGGTGTTCAACGAGACCTGGTGAAAGCAGCTAGCTTTTTTCGCAGAGCGGCCGAACAGGGAGACACTTGGCCTGGATCAGGTTGAAGGGAAAAGTGTTGAAGCCGCACGCAAGTTGCAAACGTCCATCTTTCACACAGTAATTAGTGGCTGCTTGGATGCAGCAGGGGGGAAGACTTACTTCAGGCCACGCGCATGTTATAGAATTGCACAGGAGTCATGCGAGCTGTAGGGACAGGACATGGCCTGGTGCAATATCAATTTGCAAATAGTATGGTACCTGGGGGCCCGTTCAGCAGCAAGGAGACTATACATGTTGAAGCTACGTCAGTGCTTTTTGTGCATAGAATTGACCATTGGCATCCATCTTACGCTGGACTGGCAATTGAAAAGAAGCGGCCTTTTTTAAGGCACCGTCCTCCTGGTAGCCTCGCACAGCCTGATCCTAGTGTAAAGAAAATAGACTGAGTGACTGAGTTCAAATCTTTATGAATGAATTGCTGTAGTTGGTTTGGCTCCATGCGTCAGAGCCACGAACTGTGTGTATGTCCAGATCCTTTCTGTAAATTTCTGCCTTTCGACTCCATACACACTCCCAGGATGTGACGGCCCAGTACAGCCTTGGCGTCGAGCTCCCAGAAGTGATGTCAGCAGGTGATGGAAGGTATCTAAGTCCAGCAGAGGCTAGCAGAGGCTCGCAGATTGGAGAGAGATGTTGGAAGGCGCACAGCTAGTGCACGCAGGCTTGCAGAACTCTTTTGGAGGAGCATGGTTTGTGATACTCGGGGCTTGTGTACTGTGCGACTCATAAAAGCCCGCAACTTGCCATGGTTGAATGATGAATAGGCTCAAGTTGTGAGTCCAGGGCCAAATGTGATAGTTTATGGAGGACCTCAGGGGGCAATAGACAGTTGTTTCTTTGCTGGGTCCTGCGCTGTTGCACAATCCAACATCTTCGACTAGCAGGTAATTACTCCAATGATCATCTTCATATAACTATTTATAGTATATGTAGCCCGCTCAACAAATATGTATAGACCTATATTTATATACTGTATAGATGTGCGTGATCAAATACGTTACGTATAAGTCTAGCCCAACCAGACAATAAAGCAACATTCAGTTTGAATTCCCATCGGTGCCCCAAAGCTTTGGCCCAGTGAAGGTCGGGGGCAACATGTTGACCCCCTCTAAGAGTGAAGCTTAGGTCATGCATGAGCTGGGGGAAGGTGCAACTCGGCGAAATGATGCTAGTATATATATATATATAGATAGATAGATAGATAGACTGCCCTGACAGGCTGTTTGCTTCTTGTCTTAACAGCAAAAGGCTTGACACATGCCTCTTCCATTGAACGGTGTTGTCCTCGCTTGGCTTGGAACGATGTTGGACTATTCTTTGAGCCTATGACATATGAACTGACACCCGCTGAATTGGCCAAGGTGCCGCGAAGTGACACACAAGCGCAGCACCTTGGCACGCCATCCTTTGAATTCCGGGCTCCTGAAAAGGGTAGAAGGTTGGGTGTGTTGGGTCAGGTGAAAGAGGTGACGCAGGTGCTTCGATGTACTTTGTCACGTGGCACATGTCCAGTTGATTTCAAGTCCTCCTCTTGATGGCCGAAGCACAGTTTGTGGTGTGCTTCGAACAAATCACCGCGTTGACGAGCATTTCCTGCATTAGCTGCCTTGCTGAAGGCATTGGTTTCGCACAGCAGCAGCCCAAGGATCCCTGGAGGCTCAAGCACGTGTCCGCAGCCCAGGCGCAAAGACCCGTCAGGAAGAAGGTACCACAACAATGGATTGACTGTTTCCTTGCTGAAGAACACTTCACACATCAGATCAACGGATGCCGCACGATTTCACATGCATCAACCATTTTGTGGCGTTGGAGACCATTCTTGGGACCTGCATGATCTCATGGCCTGGCATGTTGCAGGTCTATTGCCGCCTCCTTCAGCTTGAAGCAGCAGATAGGTCCTTGCCATGGTAAGGATCACAAGCAGTTGCAGTTCTTGACAGTGTGGCGCTGAATGCTATGATTGCTATTCTGCAACACTGGTGTGGCTTCGAAAGGAGTTCATATAGCCAGACGGTACGTGACACTACGAGACTACGTGATTGGTATTCGGGCGTGTCCTGCTACATTCTCAGGGTTCTCCGGCTTGCTCCAGCACTTGCTCCAGCAGCCCAGGTTGTCATGAAAAAGCCCACCCAAACTCAGAACGACATGTTTGCCCTCGTCCAGGGCTTCTTTATCGGGAGTTGCGAACAGCGCTGGAGCACACGGGGCCCTAAAGTTGGAATCGCGCATTCTCGCGGGGGAAAAGGATGCATTGTAGCGGCGGTGCCACATCTCATGCACCCAGCCAACACATGCAAATAGTGTGTTGGCTGCCTCATTTGCAAACTTGAGGCAGAATGAGATTCATATCAACCGGACTGATGCTGGCCAAGGTGCCCACCAAAAATGGCACAGTTCAAGGGGCCCTAGTTGATGGCTGCAGAAGCCAAGATGAGATTGCCTCAGCAGCATGGAGTAAGTGTTGGCCCCAGATTCGTACTGCGGCTTCATGCTCTTCCTGGTTCTATCTCCAAAGTTTGTCGTCTTCCAGTGTGATGAAATTTCAGCAGTATCTCTTGAGACGTCATGTGGCTACAGAAACCAGATCAGAGACTATGCACACACACGTTATATGCTGTAATTGGGTTGCCTTGCTTGAAAGCTGTAAACGTGTGATAACATGTGCATGTCATGTGACTTGAGAACTTCATTCTTGGGCCTGCGTTGGGGAAGAGCAGAGAAAGCTCTCGCTTTCCCAAGCAATGCCACCACAACGACAGCCATTTAGTTGTTCGAGTTCGAGTTGGAGATTGTACCCAACAGTGGGATGTAGATACATAAGCCATTTTAGCGTCTTAGCTCCATCAGGCTTGGTGTATGTGTGACCTGACCAGAGTCAGCATGCTTTCAGATTCCACACTTGCATCCGGAGAGAACGCGGGTATTGGTCAGCCAGCTACCAGAATTGATCAGAATTGGGTACAGAAGCCGGGAAGCCTCCTTGGAGTTCTGGAATCAGCTGCATAACCATCAAAAGGTCTACCCAACACTGTCAGTACTATCAAGAAAAGCCTGCTTTTGGCGTTCTGTCAGCTGCGGTCCGTTGCAATGCTACTACCCTTGGAGCGAAAGGGACATGGCTGGCGGAGGCTCGGGGTTGCAGGCGATTTCAACAAAATAGTCCAGAATCAAGAATCTTCAGAGCATGTCACTTCTTTATAGTCAAAGACACACACACACACACATTTATATATATATACACTTAGAACATCAATGTTTTCCAAAACCTTTTTGCAGCTACACTTAGAACATTGGTACTAGTCATCACTTAGAACATTTGGACTCAAGACTTAGAACATGTGGACTCAAGACTTGGATGCAAGGCTTAGAACATCAGACACACACACACCTGTATATATGTGTACATGCTGGTAATACTATATATACACTTATATACTGTAACCTTCTCCAAATTCTTTGATTGATCCACTCTCAACCTTTTTCAAGGACAACGTTCAAAGCCATGGTGCCAGACGCATGCATCAGAATGTTCTAACCCTAAGACTTAGAACGTGCGCATAACAAAAATATTGTTCCAAAAGATGTTCTAAGTATAGGCCTTGGACTATACACAGGAACTGCTTTGCATTTGTGCTTTCTTGCCAGGGGGTCGATGTCAATGTTACTTTTGAGTTGACCACATCGTGACTTAGATAAATATCTTTGCACTCTTTGCGGAGATATGTGGGTTCAAGTGTGAGACTAGAACGGAGATAGCGTAGGCATTGACTGAAGCTTTGGCTTTACTGGAGATACATATAATATTTATATAAACTATATATTTTTAATTGATAGTTGTCACTTTGCACACCAGTGACGTGCCAGTGACGCGTGAACCAGCCTTGTGCCAGATCTTAGCCGAGTAGCCTCCAAGCATGAAGTTTGGCAAGCAACTGGAAGAGTGGCTTGGTATGTGCAGGAATCCGATTTCTCATAGGTGGATAGAGGCGGTGCTGGACCTGATGGTGTACTATTTATACCTATCTTATATTCGTTTATGTATTGTCGTACTCTTTTCTTTCACTTGTTTAACTCTGTTTTAGTTGCTTTTACTCCCAAACTTAGTATACAATTCACCAGGCCCAGGTGCCAGTTTTGAACGTTGATTCTCACTTGCTGCATTTATCATAGCCCCTGAATGTTTGCACTTTTGGGGGTGCAAGTGCCAAGACTTAAGAAACGTGTGAAAAAAGTGAAAAAAAGGAACACCGTCCTTCTATTTAAGGGCTTACGCCCGACAGCCGGCCAGGGGCGTTGAGGTAGGGGGCTGGAGGGTGGAAGATTGGGTCCGGGTGCAGGCTGAGGGAGTGTTGGGCGGGCTGGGGGCTATGTTGCGCACAGCTTGGGTCTAGCTGAGGCCATCTGGAGCCTTTGTTGCGCGGTCTTGGGGCTATGTTGAGCATAGCTTGCGTCTAGCTTGGGCCATCTTGGGCCCATGTTGGCTCAGCTTGAGCCCATGTTGGCCTAGCTTGGGCCCATGTTGGCCCAGCTTGGGCCACCCGGAGTGGTACACTCCGCGCATGATGCGTGCGCAGCAAGCGAGAATCTCGCGTAGCAATTCCAAACCACTCCCATGAGCAGCCTTGTGAAGCTTAAAAATGAACTTAAAGCGGTAAAGTGGACACCATCACTTCAGCCTGCTATGCATTTGGGTGCATGACATCTATCTATGTCGTTGCATATTGTGACGTGCTGGGATGCTTCTTGTTTTGCCACATGTACGTTGCTCTACTACCCTATGGCCTATGGTCATCCTCGGTGTGGTCAGCAGCTTTTGGCTTCTCCTTTGGTGCGACCTGACCCTTGCCTAGGACCCTTTTGGGAGGGCCATACAGGCGGCAGGCCCTGTAGGTTCTTGGGTTCTTGTCCTCAACTGATGATTTCTTCGCAGGTGTGAGAGGTGTCGCAACCACAAAAAGATGTCGAACCTTCTTTTGACCATTTGCAACACATCCCGAGCTCTGTGTTTCAGACTCATGCCGTGGTAAGATATCCCATTCTTTGCACTTTAACCCCAGCTAGCTACACTGTTGAAGCCAGGTGGATGACAGAGGTGACTGAAAGGGTATATATATATATATATATACAAAATCAACCTACCTGGGTAACAAAAAGAGCTTCGATATTGTAATGAAAAAAATTGTTTCCAGGTACCCGTTTTTGTGGGGGTGGGGAGGTTAATTTTGTAAGGGCAGCATTCTTTCTTGGGTCTGTTGATTTTGTAAGGAATCGATATGTTGGTATGGATGTCAAAAGTGCCGCACTGGTGAGGGTGGGGTCCTTGATTCTATACAAGTTTGAGGGTGGGGTGGTTGTCATGGACAGTCGATTCTGTAATCGATAGACCTGCTGTAAAGCATGGACAGTTGATTTTGTAGTGGGTTGAGCTGCTGTAGAACATGGTCTCATAAATTCTCAATAATTCGCATAAATTTTCATGATCTTTCATATATGTTCACGGTCTTTGAGGTTCATCTAATTTGTTTACAAAATCAGAGGCACCAAGAGAGCACCCAGGGGCACTTATACAGAATCATGCTTCCCAGTCTCGGTGTCCTTATCGCACGTGGGGATAAAGCAAAATATAGCTATGCTGTGTGGTACGAACTATGATATGTACAAACTTGTAAAGAAAGGTCTGCCTTTTAAAGAGTTAGTGGTGACTTGCATTTGCTTTTCTTTGTTTGGTTTTCTTTTGATGGCAGGTGCGGGAACCCCACCATCCATGATCAAGATTTGTTCCAAGATGTTCCAAGGATTGTTCAATCATGTTCAATCTATCTGTTGATCTCTTGCAGTTGCTGGCATGCGAGGGAGGGGTAGGTTCGTGCAAGTGATCTGCGGGACACTGCGAGAACATGAAAAAAAGAAAGATAAGAAAGGAAACGTGATGACGAAGAGTGAGAGCTGTGAGACGAATCGTATCGTATCGTATCATCTCGATGAGGTCGCGCCGAATCATTACAAAATCGTTTGTTTTTTCCAATCCAGGTTTAACGATTGAGATTTTGTATCTTGTTTGAGGCCTCGGGGTGGTTGATTTTGTAATTGTACTGAGCCATGTCGACAGAGTGCCTATGACTTTGTAAAGACTGTATCTTGAGGCTGGGATAGTTGATTTTGTAATATCGGCTGGAGAGTTGTCCCTTGCCTGCGTCCTGGGGGGTTTGATTTTGTAAAGCTTTTCAGGTTGGCAAACCTGGGGTGGTTGATTCTGTAGCACATTTTCCTTACAAAATCAACCACCCCTACATACTCCAGAAATTCGAAGGGGGATTATATATATATATATGTGTATGTATGTGTGTGTGCAATTCATCCTACCACACCCAAGTGTGTCTACGTGCGGCTATGCGCTTCTCACTCCTAGCTGTTCCAGCACAGAAAAATGAGTTTGTTCAAAGCAACTTTGCTAGAATTGGCCGGATGTGCAATTGCCGTGTGGATGCGCTGAAGAAGGATGTATCACTGCACTTTATGGGGGTGTGTATTTTCGGTGTAATTGCATGGCGATTACTTTTCTGCTGTAAGTCACTTGCATTCGCTGGCTGTACTTCACTCTGGAACCCTTATGCCACTTGTTGTCCACTCAGGTACGAGCTTCCAGAGTGGAAAGGTGCTTCTCCGCAGATAGTCGCGCAGGAAGTAACGTTCTTACTTGGGTAGTTAAGGCTTTGCGAATCGAACATCAACTCCTGAGTTGCTACCGATTTCAACTGGAGCGGTCAGTGCAAGCCTCACAAGGCCCTTGATATTCTTTCCTAATTTGACTGAGACACACAAGTTGGTTCCAGCACTTCAGAGCCTTGGATTTCCCAGGAATCAGCAGTAGTACACAGTGCTCTATTTCCCGTGCATATATAGCCGCTAGAGCCCCTTCAGAACAGTGTTGATTGATATTTGAGCTTCCCCACCCTTCTAGATTGCCGAAAGAAGAGCCTATGGAGGCCTGATTGGTTTTGATGGCCTTCCCTGGGCGGTTGGAAATTTCGGATGAGATGATGCTCCATGTGGCCAGGCTACTATTTGCCTTACAAGCTCTTGAAGAGAAAGCTTGAAGATTTGTCCGCCAGGATTGGGGATTTCGAGTTCGAACAATTGCTAATGCAATGATAGCACTATTGTGATACTGCACAAATCTTTGGAACATGGCCTGTAGATTTTGCAGAATGGACATGTGTGGAGGGGATTGTTTAACTCAAGACGAATGACGTCACATCATTGATTCAAAGGCACCAGTTTGCGTGATTTTGAGTGTTTTGCCGTTTGCAACTGATGCTTGGAACATCCATGCCCAACCGCCGTTTTCCGCACCAGGGCAATAAGGCACAAGCAGTTATTCTAGGAGCAAAGAGCATCGCTACTAGGAGCAAGGACGCTACTAGGGGCTCCTGGCCGTACTACTAGGAGCAAGGACGC